CTCGAATTCTAATCCTGAAAGTCACAATAAAAAAAGATAAAATGTTACTTTACAGTTTAAATCTTGTGATAATTTATTTACTGACACGAGATTAATGGACAACATAGGGACATATAACATTTTTTCTAATATAAGGGTAGAACTAAGCTCAATGTTCCCATTGTGTGCAATGTTATTTAGGGAGCCATCTGTAGTGACAATCTTCTTGTTACTTGGACAAGAAACATATATATTGAAAAACTTAGAAATATTTGTCATATGATCCAATGGCTCTTAAATCTACAATCCAAGAATTTTTGGAAAAGTTTATCTGAGGCATTTACTGTATGAAAAAGAAGGTATATTTGAGTGTTTTATTACACTCGTACTTATAGACTTCTCAAAATTTTCCAATTGACTTCGCAGTCGTTCAATCTCGATCTTAGAAATTATGAGATCAGTAGGTGCTTCTTTTTCCCGTTGGTTAGCTTATGAACTTGTTTACAAATCTTGTGAGATTAGGGATGAATTATCAGTGGGACGAGATTCGAGAATGATCTCTTTTTTACTTTCTTTTAATATTCCAATAGAAATTATTTCATTTAAGTGATGATATTTTCTCTGTTCAAAAAATCTATATTCGTACTTGATCATATTTCGCGTTTAGTCATGCCAAAAATTGATATGCTCAACTGATATGTTCAATCTTTTTCTACAAACATTTTAAGACAAGCTGCATCTTCATTGCAATTCATAGTTAGACAATAGTATTCGTTTAGTTCCTGCCACTAGTTTTTTAATATATTAAAATATTTATTTATTGACTTATGTCCTTATTTTGTAGACCATATTCTGACTATTAGATCATAAATTTGTGCGGCGTCCTTGACTTCAAATTAAGTTTCACCGATTGCATTTCACACCATCTTTGTTGTAGGAAGGACTATTACAATTTTGTTTATGTATGGAGTCATAAGGTTTCAGAGGCATGTCATGATCATGAAATCTTCTTTATATTAGGCATCAAATGTAAGGTTTTTCGGTGTTGGTTCGATACATAAAATGCGATTGAGTTTCTCTTTAGGATGATTTGAATTAATTAAGACCAGTAGATAGTTTTTCTTATGAATTGATAGACAACCTAAATTGACTAAAATTCATAGGTGAAATTTTTCACGTGGGAATATCCTTCTATATTTCGATATGTTACCTCCGACATAAAACTGATTGAAGTAAGATTAGGAACAAGTCGACTGAAGTAGGCGGTGTGGCTGAGGAGGTGTAATTAAATTGGTGGTCGACTGTAAAAGCCGAGAGTGGTGATAGTGGCTGATTATGAAGGCTGGCCACCTTAGGTTTTAGAAATTTTTTAACTCAAAACTCTAATAGCATGTTAAGAGTAGTTTTTTTTATTAATGTATATACCATTGAATATTACAGCATTATATATAGATAATTTTACAATAAAAAAAGAAATAAATAATTAATTATAATTAATTAATTACAAAATATATAATTTTTTTACTCTCTAACACTATCATTTATTTTCTTTTTAATAAATTGATTTAATTTTTTTTAATACTTTAAATTTTTCTTTAATACTTTGATTTACTTTATTTTTTAATCATAATTTTTTTTAATAATATCATTTATTTTTAAATTTATTTTTTTAATTTTTAATCAAATTAATTTTTAAACATTTAAATTTTTTTGACTTAATATTTATTATTAATAGAAGTTAGTACTGTTGTTATTTATGATAACATATATGAAATTTAGTAATACGTGATATTTTTTTATTAATTTAAATATTAATTAAATATTAAATTAAATTTTATGTATATCATTTGATATGACAATAAAAAAATGAAGATATAGACCAATTTAGAACAATCCACAAATTAAAAAAAAAAACATTGTTTACCGGAGCTTTAAAAAGAAGCTAATTGCTAGCAAAATCATGTCTCCCTATTTTTACCACCACTTTTCGGTGGAGGTGGAGGCCGCGGCGGAGGAGTGTATTACCCTACACCGACCCCTCCTGTCCCACACTTCCCTTTCTACTATTAGAACCCTCCTATGGCTTACACGTTTTCTGTTCTATTCGTTGTTTTTCTCTGTTTGTTTCACCGGAAAAAGAAGAAGAAAGGGGAAGATATGGAAATAATACGGGAGATTAAGAGATCTGGGAATTTGGAGGCGAGGCAAGGAGAGGAATCGAGAGTTAGTGTTTGATGTTTGAAGAAGAAACAATAAATGCACTCCGTCTCATGGACAGAGGTTGGCCATCTGTTTCTCTGACTAAATTTACTTGAAGTAATTATCTCTTATATCTTTCTCTGGTCTCTAATTCTAATGATGTAGCTGAAGAAGAATATTGATAATATTAACAATCTATAATTTATTGACAATTTGTATGTAATTTGAATCAATAAATATTTAATCAGACATAATTAATTATTTTTTTTTTTGGGGGTTCAATAGTTCATGAAATTTTATTATCCAAATGTAGATAGGTCTAAACAGGTCTACATCCATATTTTTTTAATACCATATGACATATGACGTGCATTCAACTACTACTTGGACTAATGAAATTGAAAATTTTTTAAAAGCGTAAAGACTAGTTTAACTGAAAATTGATACAGAGACTAATTTGAACAAAAGCAAATAGTACTGGGACCAGATCATTATTTTAGCGATTAATAAAGGGTATTAATCATTATTTTCTTAATAACCAATTATTTCCATTTCTTTATAAAGTTAAACCAAATGAAATATGGCAATAATCATTTCATTTCTTCATCTTCTTTAATTTTTAGTTATCCAAACAAGGGAAACATTTTTCCTTTCATTTCCCTTAAGAGCCACTCCTTTTCTCATCTTCTCTTGTCTCTATGAAAAAATATATTGGTTCTATTTACAGTGAGAGTTATGTGTCTCATGATCAAGAGCGTTTGATTTTTTGCTTATGAGTTTTTTAACTACATTGTTGGGATTAACAACTGGCTTTAATTTGATACAAGTTTATATCTTTTTGGAAATTAGTTGTGATATATTTTTATTTATTAATAGGTTTTTGATTCACATGGCTTGTTGCAGCAAATGTTTATCAAAAAGCCGTTGTAACTAACGGTGTTCATTCTTTCACTAATTTTTACCTGAACATAATGTTAAAAATCGAATACTTATATATCTTATGATCATGGGTATTTGAGAATTTGTACTTATATGATTTTTTTTTTCAGTAATTCAATATTGGGATTAGTTACTAGTTCAAATCCGACACAAGTCTAGAGTTTTGGGAATTAGTTGGAATATGTTCTTACTTATTTTGGTTTACACGACCTATTTGTCAAAAAGCCTTTGTAACCAATTATGCCCATTCTTTTACCAAATCTTTTATCTCAAAATTTCTTTTACCAAAATTTACGTGAACATAGTGTTGGAAATCACGTAGTTATATGTCTCATGATCAAGAGAATTTGAAATGTTTTACTTATATGAGTTTTTTTCAATATTTTAATGTTGGAATTAGTTACTAGTTCTAATTTAATAGAAGTTTATTTTTTTCGAGGAATTAGTTGGAATATATTTTTATTTATTAATAAGTTTTTGGTTCCTACAATCTATTGAAACAAATGCTTGCCCAAAGGCCTTTGTAACTAATCATGTTCATTCTTTCACCAATTTTTAATTGAACATATATTAAAGATCGAGTAGTTATACATCTCATGATCAAGGGTATTTGAATTTTTTTCCTCATAGTTTTTCAATACTTAAATGTTGAGATTGGTTACTATTTTTAATTTGATACAAGTTTGTATATTTTGGGAGTTAGTTGGAATTTATTAATAGGCTTTTGTTTCATAGAACCTATTGCATCAAATGCTTGCCAAAAAGCTTTTGCACTAATTTTGTTCTTTCACCAATTTTTACCTAAACATAATGTTAAATATCGAGTACTTATATGTCTCATGATCAAAGGTCTTTGAGATCTTTTGCTTATATCAGCTTTTTCAGTACTTCAATGTTGAGAAACTAGTTGCTAGTTCTAATTTGATACTTTATATTTTTTTGGGAATTTTTGGAGTATGTTCTTGTTCATTAATAGTTTTTGGTTCACACAACCTATTTAAGCAAATGCTTGTCAGAAGGTCTTTGTAACTAATCATGTATAGTCATTCACTAATTTTTACCTAAACATAATGTTAAAGGTCAAGTAGTTTCATGTCTCATGATCAAGAGTATTTGAGATTTTTTTAATCTTATATGAGTTTTTGCAATGCTTCAATGTTGGGATTAGTTATTAGTTCTATATTTTTTTTTGCAATTAGTCAGAAATTATTCTTATTTATTAACAGGTTTTTGGTTCTCACAACGTATTTCATCAAATGCTTGTAAATAAGCCTTTTGTAACTGACATGTTCATTTTTTCACCAAGTTTTACCTTTACATAGTGAGTAGTTATATTGACCTTCTATTCATCCTTCCTGCACTTTACTACGTAGAATTACAATCCGGAATCATCTATGAAGCTGTGACTGTTTTATGACTCATGTTCTCTTCCTACTAGAAGTTGCAATCTATAAATGGCTAGAACACTAGCTATGGATAAACTTGTCTCCATATGTAATCTAGTTAAATTTTCATGTCTAGATAGTCCACAAGGAGATTATTGTAAATTAACCTTCTATTCACCCTTATGTTTAGTTTTTTCGTCTCAGAAATGAGAAAGGATTATTTTATTCTTTGGATCTTGTTGAGAAAATTTTTGTCTATTATGGGTGCATGTGAAATGGGAGGGTGGTGGTCTTGCTAATCGTATATGAAGCTGACTGCTTTTTGACTCTTGTTCTCTTCCTACTACAAGTTGCAATCTATAATTGGCTAGAATAGTTTCACTAGCCACAGTGGGTAAACTTGTCTCCATCTGTAATCTTGTTAAATTTTCATATCTAGATAGTTCACTAGGAGATTATAGCAATTTGGGTCCTTATACTTAATTTGTTCATATCAGAAATGAGAAAGGAGTATTTTATGCTTTGGATCTTGGTGGAACAAATTTTCGTATATTACGGGTGCATTTGAAAGGGGAGGGTGGTGGTCTTGCTGCTCAGGAATTTACTGAGGTATCCATCCCTCCCAACTTGATGGTTGGGACCTCAGATGTAAGTGTTTGTGCTCTCAAAATTACTTTCAACTTTGAATTAGACTAGTTTATGCATAACTTCTTTCATAAGTTTCAAAAATTCTTGTGATTTCAGGAACTTTTTGGCTATATTGTCGAAGAAGTTCTTAAGTTTGTTGCTCAAGAAGGTGAAGATTTTCATCCAGCTGTGGGTAGGAAGAGGGAGCTGGGTTTTACCTTTTCATTCCCTGTGATGCAGACATCCATTGCTTCTGGGACTCTCATTAGGTGGACGAAAGGCTTCAATGTAGAAGATACAGTTAGTTCTAATTTCTCAGCCTTTCTTTTAGTCTAATACAGTGTCATTTTTTGAATTTGCATGAAGTGAAAGTAATGCTTTGATTGAAACATTATTCATTTTCAAATCTTTAGTTGAATTTATTCATCTGCTTTTACTTGAATGTTGTCATGTTTGCCTTTTTTTTGGTTGGTTTTAACCAATTCATGCAATGAAAATTTAATTACTGTTTCATATTTCATAATGTCGTGCATGATGTTTGAGATGGAGTTAATCATTTTCCTCATAGTAGGCTACTCTTGTTTTTATGATTGATCTTGTTGTATCACATTTTTCTGTTTATGTTTTTAATTATACATGGGTCTACAAACGTCAAGTAATCAAAAGAATTAGTGGTTCAAATGGCCAGGTTGGTTCCTTTTTTGGGCAAGCCTATAGCTGTTACGCACAT